TGGTGTGTCTTCCTCAGGTATGGTGTGGCTTCCCCAGGTATGCTGTATTTTCCCCAGGTACACTGTGTCTTCCCCATTTTGGTGTGTCTTCCCCAGGTATGTTGTGTCTTCCCCACGTATGCTGTATTTTTCCCAGGTATGCTTTATCTTCTTCAGGTATGCTGTATCTTTCCCAGGTATGCTGTGTCTTCCCCAGGTATGCTGTGTCTTCCCCAGGCATGCTGCATCTTTCCAAAGTATGCTGCATCTTCCCCAGGTATGCTGTATCTTCCCTAGGTATGTGTGTTTCCCCATTTTGGTGTATTTTCCCCATGTATGTCTTCCCCCAGGTATGTTTTCCCCAGGTAGCCATAATTTTCCCAGGTATGCGTTTTTCCCGGGAAACTGTGTCCCCCCAGGTTGCTGTGTCTTCCCCGGTAGCTGTCCCTTTCCCCCAGGTATGTTTTTCTTCCCACAGGTATGCTGTGTCTTCCACAGTTATGCGTTTTACCCCCCGGTTGCTGTGTCTTCCCAGGTATGCTATTTTTTTGGGAATGCTGTGTCTTCCACGGGTTATGTGTTTTGCCGGGATGCTGTGTTTTTCCCCAGGAAAGGGGTTTGTCTTCTTCGTATGCGTGTCTTGCCCGGTTTTCGTGTTTTCAACGGGTATGCTGTGTCTTCCACAGGCGTGCTTTGTTTCCCAAAGCTATGCTATGTCTTCCCCCAAGTATGCTGTATTTTTCCAGGTTTGTATTTTTCCCAGGTATGCAGTATCCCCCCCCAGGTAGCCGTGTTTTCCCCGGGATGCTGGTCTTTCCCGGGTATGTTTTTGCTTCAATAGCTGTGTTTTCCCCAAAGGGTTTTGCTGTCCTTCTTCATACGCTGTGTCTTCCCCGGGTTTGTTGTGTCTTTTTCGGACCTGAGTCTTCCCCAGTATGCTGTTTTTTCACAGTTGTTGTCTTTCCACATTTGTTTATTTTCCACAGGTTTTTTGTGTCTTCCCCAGGTTGCGTTTTTTTTCCCGGGTATTTGATTTCCCCATTATGCTGTACTTTCCCCAGGTATGCTGTGTTTTCCCAGTAGCTGTGTTTCCCCCAGGTATGCTGTATTTTCCCGCAGGTATGCTGTTCTTCCCCAGGTATGCTGTGTTTTTTCCCCGGGTATGCTGTATCTTCCCCGGGTTGCTGTTTTTCTCCGGTATCTGTGTACTTCCCCGGGAAATCTGTGTTTCCCAAAGCGTATCTTCCTAGGTTGCTGGCTTCCCCAGGTATGCCTGTTTTTTTCCCGGGTAGCTGTGTCTTTCCCAGGTATGCTGATCTTCCCAAGTATGCTGTATCATTCCATTTGCTGTGTTTTCCCCCAAGTATGTTTTTTTTTTCCCCGGGGATGCTGTATCTTCCCCGGGTACCTTTTGTTTTCCCCCAGGTTGCTGTTTTTTCTCGGGTATGCTTTTCCCTTCCACGGGGTATGCGTTTTTTTCCCCCGGGATTCTGTATTTTCCCGGGTATGCTGTATCTTCCCCGGGTATTCTTGTCTTCCCCAGATGCTTTCTTCCCCGGGATGCTGTTCTTGCCAGGTTTTGTATTTTCCCCCGGGAAGCTGTATCTTCCCCGGGTTTTTGTTTTCCCGCAGTATGCTGTGTTTCCCCCAGATATCTTTTCTTCTCCATATGTTATCTTCCCTAGTATGCTGTGTTTTCCCAAGGTATCCTGTTTTTTCTCAGGTCGCTTTTTTCTTTGCCGGGTTTTGCTGAATCATCTCCGGTCGCTGGCTTCCCCAAGTATGTTTGTTTTTACCCCAGGTACTGTGTCTTTCCCAGTATCGTTTTTCTCAGGTAGCTGTTCTTCCCCGGTATTGTGTCTTCCCCGGGTATGTGTCCCTTTCCCCCAGGTTGCTGTATCTTCCCCGGGTTTATGCTGTTATCCCCAAGTATGCCTTATTTTCCCCCAGGTATGCTGTTCTTCCCCAGGTATGTCTGTATTTTTCCCAGGTATGCTGTGTCTTCCCCAGGTATGCTGTGTCATCGCCAGGTATACTGTGTCTTCCCCAAGTATGCTTGTATCTCCCCAGGTGTGCTGTACCTTCCCCAGGTATGCTGTGTCTTTCCCACGTTTGCTGTATCTTCCCCAGGTGTGCTGTGTCTTCTTCAGGTATGCTGTGTCTTCCCCAGGTATACTGTGTCTTCCCCAGGTATGCTGTATCTTCCCCAGGTATGCTGTGTCTTCCCCAAGTATGCTGTATCTTCCTCAGGTATGCTTTGTCTTCCCCAGGTATGCTGTATCTTCCCCAGATATGTCGTATCTTTCACAGGAATGCTGTGCCTTCCCCAGGTATGCTGTATCTTTCCCAGGTATGCTGTGTCTTCTCCAGTTATTGTGTATCTTCAACAGGTATGCTGTGTTTTCCCCAGGTATGCTGTATTTTCCCCAGGTATGCTGTGTCTTCCCCAAGTATGCTGTATCTTCTCCAGGTATGCTGTGTCTTCCCCAGGTATTCTGTATCTTCCCCAGCTATGCTGTGTCTTCCCCAAGTATGTTTGTATCTCCCCCTGGTGTGCTGTACCTTCCCCAGGTATGCTGTGTCTTCCCCAGGTATGTCTGTATGTTTCCCAGGTATGCTGTGTCTTTCCCAAGTATGCTGTATCTTCACATGTATGCCGAGTCTTCCCCAGGTATGCTTTGTCTTCCCCTGGTATTCTGTGCCTTTCCCAGGTATGCTGTATCTTTTGCAGGTATGCTGTATGTTCTCCAGGTATACTGTGTATTCCCCAAGTATGCCTGTATCTTCCCTAGGTATGCTGTCTTCCCCAGGTATGTCTGTATTTTTCCCAGGTATGCTGTGCCTTTCCGAGGTATACTGTATCTTCTCCAGGTATGCTGTATCTTTTCCAGGTATGCTGTGTCTTCCCCAAGTATGTCTGTATCTTCCCCAGGTATGCTGTGTCTTCCCCAGGTATGTGTGTATTTTTCCCAGGAATGCTGTGCCTTTCCCAGGTATGCTGTATCTTCCCAGGTATGCTGTATCTTCCCCAAGTATGTCTGTATCTTCCCCAGGTATGCTGTGTATTCCCCAGGTATGCTGTATCATACCCAGGTATGCTGTGTCTTCCCCAGGTATGCTGTATCATCCCCAGGTATGCTGTGTCTTCCCCAGGTTTGTCGTATCTTCTGCAGGTATGCTGTGTGTTTCCCACGTTTGCTGTATCTTCCCCAGGTATGCTGTGTCTTCCCCAAGTATGCTGTATCTTCCCCAGGCATGCTATATCTTCCCCAGGGATGCTGTATCTTCCCCAGGTATGTTATATCTTCCCCAAGTATGCTGTGTCTTCCTCAGGTATGCTGTATCTTCCCCAGGTATGCTGTGTTTTCCCCAAGTTTGCTGGATCTTCACCAGGTATGCTGTGTCTTCCCTAGGTATGCTGTAGCTTCCCCAGGTATTTTGTATCTTCCCCAGGTATGCTGTGTCTTCCCCAAGTGTGCTGTATCTTCCCAGGTATTCTGTATCTTCCCCAGGGATGCTCTATCTTCCCCAAGTATGCTGTGTCTTCCCCAGGTATGCTATATCTTCCCCAGGCATGCTGTGCCTTCCCCAGGTATGCTGTATCTTCCCCAGGTATGCTGTGCTTTCCCAAGTATGCTGCATCTTCCCTAGGTATGCTGTTTTTTTACCCAGGTATGCTGTGGCTTCCCCATGTATGCTGTATCTTCCCCAGGTATGCTGTATCTTCCCCAGGTATGCTGTGTCTTCCCCAGGTATGCTGTATCTTCCCCAGGTATGCTGTATCTTCCCCAGGTATGCTGTGGCTTCCCCATGTATGCTGTATCTTCCCCAGGTATGCTGTATCTTCCCCAGGTATGCTGTATCTTCCCCAGGTATGCTGTGTCTTCCCAGGTATGCTGTATCTTCCCCAGGTATGCTGTGTTTTCCCCAGGTATGCTGTATCTTCCCCAGGTATGCTGTATCTTCCCCAGGTATGCTGTATCTTCCCCAGGTATGCTGTTTTTTTTACCCAGGTATGCTGTGTCTTCCCCAGGTATGCTGTGTCTTCCCCAGGTATGCTGTATCTTCCCCAGGTATGCTGTATCTTCCTCAGGTATGCTGTATCTTCCCCAGGTATGCTGTTTTTTTTACCCGGGTTATGCTGTATTTTCCCCCAGGTATGCTGTGTTTTCCCCCGGGTATGCTGTATCTTCCCCCAGGTATGCTGTGGCTTCCCCGGGGTATGCTGTGTCTTCCCCAGGTATGCTGTATCTTCCCCAGGTATGCTGTATCTTCCCCAGGTATGCTGTATCTTCCCCAGGTATGCTGTATCTTCCCCAGGTATGCTGTTTTTTTTACCCAGGTATGCTGTATCTTCCCCAGGTATGCTGTGTCTTCCCCAGGTATGCTGTATCTTCCCCAGGTATGCTGTGTCTTCCCCAGGTATGCTGTATCTTCCCCAGGTATGCTGTATCTTCCCCAGGTATGCTGTATCTTCCCCAGGTATGCTGTATCTTCCCCAGGTATGCTGTATCTTCCCCAGGTATGCTGTTTTTTTTACCCAGGTATGCTGTGGCTTCCCCAGGTATGCTGTATCTTCCCCAGGTATGCTGTATCTTCCCCAGGTATGCTGTATCTTCCCCAGGTATGCTGTATTTTCCCCCGGGTATGCTGTACTTCCCCCAGGTATGCGTATTTTTCCCCAGGTATGCTGTATCTTCACCAGGTATGCTGTATCTTCCCCAGGTATGCTGTATCTTCCCCAGGTATGCTGTATCTTCCCCAGGTATGCTGTATCTTCCCCAGGTATGCTGTATCTTCCCCAGGTATGCTGTATCTTCCCCAGGTATGCTGTATCTTCCCCAGGTATGCTGTATCTTCCCCAGGTATGCTGTATCTTCCCAGGTATGCTGTGTCTTCCCTCAGCTACATTATTTCCTCTCCAAGCATATATCTACCTCAAGTACATTTTGTCTTCCTCATGCCTCTTTTGTCTTCAACATTATGATTTTCTTCTCTATGTATGTTGTGTCTTCCCCCAGGTATGTTGTGGTGGGCATCTCACAGCAGCAGATGGAAGCACTCACGCTCACTAAGAAGGGCAGGAAGACACAGCACCTGGTGGGTGTGTTCCAGGTGAGGGGGGCGATGTGTGTGATTCAGGTGAAGGTGGGCATCTGGGCATCGTGTAGTACACATGAGTGTTGGATAGACGCAGTTCAGGGGAGCGTAGGCATTGTGTGGTTCAGGTGAGAATAGGTGTAGTGCGGTTGAGGTGAGAATAGGTGTAGTGCGGTTGAGGTGAGAATAGGTGTAGTGCGGTTGAGGTGAGAATAGGTGTAGTGCGGTTGAGGTGAGAATAGGTGTAGTGCGGTTGAGGTGAGAATAGGTGTAGTGCGGTTGAAGTGAGAATAGGTGTAGTGCGGTTGAGGTGAGAATAGGTGTAGTGCGGTTGAGGTGAGAATAGGTGTAGTGCGGTTGAGGTGAGAATAGGTGTAGTGCGGTTGAGGTGAGAATAGGTGTAGTGCGGTTGAGGTGAGAATAGGTGTAGTGCGGTTGAGGTGAGAATAGGTGTAGTGCGGTTGAGGTGAGAATAGGTGTAGTGCGGTTGAGGTGAGAATAGGTGTAGTGCTGTTGAGGTGAGAATAGGTGTAGTGCGGTTGAGGTGAGAATAGGTGTAGTGCGGTTGAGGTGAGAATAGGTGTAGTGCGGTTGAGGTGAGAATAGGTGTAGTGCGGTTGAGGTGAGAATAGGTGTAGTGCGGTTGAGGTGAGAATAGGTGTAGTGCGGTTGAGGTGAGAATAGGTGTAGTGCGGTTGAGGTGAGAATAGGTGTAGTGCGGTTCGTCACTGTGGTCATCTCCTGGTTAAGGCCAGTGTTCGGGTCATGCAGTTGAATATAAGAAAAGTTTGAATGACAACTGTATCTGTCTCATTCCTGGCAGTAGCTTCTGAATTCAACCTTTATTATTAATCAATATCTTCATTCATAATACTTCAAGGTAGACAAGATTCAAGGCTCACAATCAACGTTCATGTTGTAAACTTTACGTCTGACCAACTTGAACTGTCTCTGTTATAAGTGATTCTAATAATTTGCCTACTTATGGCGACAGTCTTATTTAGAAGTAATTTTAAGTAACTGACTTATTTTCTTATTTAAAGATAGGAATTGCATATATTATTTTCCACATCTCGGGCATAATATCTGTTTGGAAAGATGTACTGATCCGCCTTGTCAGTTTTTTACTAAGTTCCCATTAGCATCCTTGGAACTTAATAAGTCTGATGCTCTCTACTTGTCCCTCGTGTCTGTCATATTATTTAATTGATTTTTTCAGGACCTGTATAATTATTTACTGTTTGGATGACATATGTATCTAAGTTTGTAAAGATTTTAAGGAAATAACTTTTAAAAAGGGAGCGAATTTACTGTTCATTATCGGTAAACTGTCCAGATCTAGTCTTAGTGGGCCAATGTTTTACCTTAATGTTTCCTCTGTTCTTTAAACAACAATTTCTGTTTATCTTTGATTCACTAACAACTAGAATTTCTTTGTCGCTTTTAATAACTTCTAATCCCGTTCTTTACTTCTCTTTTAACAAAAACATATTGGTCATTAATGTTACCCTTTTCCCTCTTGAAGTGCTCTTCAGTTACCCTCTTTCCCTATCCTCTCTCTCTCTCTTTTTTTTTTTACACAGGGTTTGACAAGGTTAGGTTAAGAATTCCTAACTTTATTGACAAGCTATTTACAGGTTAAGGATTCCTAACTTTATTGACAAGCTATTTACAGGTTAAGGATTCCTAACTTTATTGACAAGCTATTTACAGCTTAAGGATTCCTAACTTTATTGACAAGCTATTTACAGGTTAAGAATTCCTAACTTTATTGACAAGCTATTTACAGGTTAAGGATTCCTAACTTTATTGACAAGCTATTTACAGGTTAAGGATTCCTAACTTTATTGACAAGCTATTTACAGGTTAAGGATTCCTAACTTTATTGACAAGCTATTTACAGGTTAAGGATTCCTAACTTTATTGACAAGCTAAGAGCTGTTACCTACATCAGCTCATTTGAAAGCATTTTTATTGTTATGAGACATACAAGTAGGTAACAAGATGAAGTTGGAGCCATCTGTGGGCCAGCATTTTGATGTAATCAACTGACTTTATCTAGTTGACATCATAATGCTGTACGAATGTGTTCCATATTCGAGTCATCCTGGGTATATATGATCTCAGATGGAGTGATGTTCTGGAGAAGGGTACAGCCAGGGTGAAGTTGCTGCTTTCTGCCCGTCTTGTGGTATAGAAACTTGCATCACTCTGTTCTCGAAGTGGATCCAAGTGTGGTGCTTTGACAATATTGGCCTTGTACATATCAGTAAGGCCACCCACATCCCTCCTGTGTTGAAGGCTCTGCTGAAATGACAGATCTATCCAAGATTGGTCCAGGCGAGAGATGAGACGTCTTGCTCTGTTCTCTACTCAGTCAAGCAGTCGCAGATGAGAGGGGAGTGCAGCAAACCAAGAAAGTGGAGCATACTCAAGGTGTGAGCGTACCTGTGCCTCGTACAGAATCTTGCAACCCCGACTGTCAAGCAGATGCGAGATACGGCGAAGTGCTGTAAGCTTCCTGGCTGCCTTGTTTGCAAGATTTACAACATGGTTCTTCATGGTCAGTTTGGAGTCAAATTTCACCCCAGGTGCCAACACCCTCCCATTCATCCTTACTACTGCACCAGCATTACCATCATGGTGCCTAGAGACCATCATCATTTGCGTCTCCTCAGGTGCAAGTGTTACTTGCCATCTATTTCCCCAAGCTGATATAGCTCTTAGCTGGTGATTGATGTAGCTTACAGCAGCTGGCATTTCATCTCTTGGATAAGTGAATGTCAGTGTACAGTCATCTGCATATGCATGGGATTCTGGGATGAGATAAAGAAGGTCATTGAAGTAGACATTCCATAACAAAGGTCTCAGCACGCTTCCTTGTGGAACACTTGCCCCAGTAGGATGTCTTGCTGATTCCGTTCCATTGAGAACTACACTTAGAGATCTACCATGAAGGTAATCACTGAGAAGGCATAGCGTAGAGCCTGCAATTCCCAGAGCTTGCAATTTTGCTAAGAGGCCCAGGTGCCACACCTGGTGTCCTCTCTGTCTCTCTGTCTCTCTGTCTCTGTCTATGTGTATGTCTATGTCTGTCTGTCTGTCTGTCTGTCTGTCTGTCTGTCTGTCTGTCTGTCTGTCTGTCTGTCTCTCTCTCTGTCTCTGTCTCTCTCTCTCTCTCTCTCTCTCTCTCTCTCTCTCTCTCTCTCTCTCTCTCTCTCTCTCTCTCTCTCTCTCTCTCTCTCTCTCTCTCTCCTCTATATATATATATATATATATATATATATATATATATATATATATATATATACGACTAGCCAAGGACTAGGACTCGAATCCATGCTGCTTTGGCACGCCTCATGGTGAGCGAAAACACATGATGCTCTAACCCACAGGACCACGCAATCCTTCAAAAATGATGCACCCAGCCAAGCTAGGTGTTTTAATGTCATCCGAGGACATTCGGCGGTGTGGGTGACTCTAACCTAATTTCATTCTTCTCCCTGTTTGGTGTACTATCCTCAACGAGCAGTATTTTATATTATTGTACCCAATCGCAGTGTTGTTATTGATCAATACCACACGTTCATGGGTACATTATTATAAAATACTGCTTGTTGAGGCTAGTACTCCAAACGGGGAGGAGAATCATATTAGCTCAGAGGCACCCACACCACCGTATGTCCTCGGATCACGGTAAAACACCTAGCTCTACTGGGTGCTTGAGTCTTGTAGGATTTGGTGGCCCTGTGGGTTAGAGCGTCATGTGGGTTTCGTTCACCATGTTAATAGTAAGAGGAGGACACAGCACGGCTGGATCTATTATTCACCATAAGTACAGATGTTATTTGTGAAATATAATATTAGAGTCTCGCGGTGCTAGCGACCAAACTGTGGAAACAAACATTGACGGAAGAATAACAACTGGGGTAAAATTGGACATGAGAAGATTAAACTTATCAGCGGTGAAGAAATGGAAGGAAAGTTAACAAATGAGATAATGAAGAACGTAGAAGGTAAGTGCCGGGAGGCTGATGGAATCTTCATGTTGGGATGAAAACACACAGATAAGATCATACTGAACCAGTGATACAGTTAACGATGTTGGGAGAACAAAAGCAAATAGAATAATATGTATAAGAGCCAAAATTGACTATAAAAGGGCGAGAATAGAAACTAAGAGATGATACCTAAATAAAATAACAACGAAAGTTACGTCTAACACGAGAGACAGCATCACAACCTGAACAGAAGGAAAACCGTAAAAGAGTAAATGATAAGCCAGAAAAAGGAAAGAGATATGATACTAGACTTCATGTAAACAACATGTGAAGCAGTGAAAAAAAACTTTCAAGAACCTCGATTCAATAAAAGCAACGAGACCTGCGAAAATATCTCCCCGAGTTATACTAGAAGAAGTAAAATATATTTTTAAACCTATTGCTGTTATCTAAACCATATTAATGGATATAGGACAGTTACAAAGTGACAGAAAATAAATGTTAAGTTAGAAAATTATATTCCACACAAGGTGAGGATGAGGCTAATCAGAGGTAAAATAAGAAACAATAATAAAGAAACAATAATAAACAATAATCAGCATATAATTACAACAGTTTATTCTCATAATAAGAGTCATTTTGAGAGAGCAGTAAACCATTTAATTCTATACTTCACAAGGAATGGAGATAAAACTTTAAGTGGTAGGTAAGAATGGCAGAGAATTCACTACAGATGATTCAAGAGTTCTTAAAGGAATTAACTAACTGTGATTGTCCGAGAAAAGATTCCTGACCGGGAAAGAGCAACAAGCAGTGCTCTGCAATATTCAGTATTGGAACTGGTATTGTTTTTTAGTATATGTAGATGTCGAACCGTAAGGGAGAGTCAGATGCTTCCTTGTTTGCAGATGATGTGAATTTAATGAGGATAAAAGCCGAGGAGGGGTGTTAATGTTGCAGTTTAAAAACTGTAGTGTAAAGCACCCTTCTGGCAAGACAGTGATGGAGTGAATGATGGTGAAAGTTTTTCTTTTTCGGGCCACCCTGCCTTGGTGGGAATCGGCCAGTGTGATAATAAAATAAAAAAAAAAGCCGAGGAGGATATGGGAAGATCCCGAACTTATTATTAAAAGACACAGATCCTGTAGATAGTGCTTGGACCACACGTCATTAGTGCCAGCACAACAGACACCATTGATCAGAACCAGGGAGCTTTCAGCCTAGCCAAACACTTGGCCTGAATTATGTTACAGTGGAAACACCCAGCAAATAAACCAGCAACTCAAATTGCAGTATTTTGCTTCCCAGTTCATGAGCGCCTGACTTGAATCTTTATTGTTCCTGCGCCACTGTCTACTAATAGAATTTTTGTGAAGAATAAAAAAGCATAATCCCGTGACTGGAACAATACACAAATCACCTACATATATCACAATTGTTTATGGTTTAAGTCGGACCTAAACATCGTCACTACTTTCATTCTCTAATGTGTTAAAACGATCCTCAGTATGATTTAGTGAAACTAATCTAAGAGAGAAATGTAGTCTTAGTAATTTAATTTTGTGTACATTATGATTTCCTATCAGTTCTAATTGTGTTTTCTTCCTGGCACACGTGTATATATGTGCAACATCAGTCAACGGTGGCGGGAGAGTACGAGGTGTTTGTCAACACTCTGTACCAAGAAGAGAAGCTGACCCGGGTCTTCACATGGCATGATAAACGCTCTTCCAGTGCCTCGCTCAGCATCTTCCCGGATAAGATCACTGATCTCCACGGTGCTACGCTCAATGTGAGCTCGAGATAAATGAGTTCCTGAACAGTAAATAATTATTTGCTAAAGCAATTTACATCCTTAAAACAGTTAATGATTCTCTTCATTACTAAGGCAGTTTAAATAATGGCGATTGATTAGTATACTTTTATATTTATCGTTAGTTGCTATTAAGGTCTTAAAGGATTAAGTAATTAACTGTTAAATTTTTATTGCTATCAAAGTCTAATAAATAATATCTATATCAGTGGTTTGTATTAGTTTTTCTTCATTCTCCATCTTATATATTTCACATATATGGTACGTCATTTTTTGGCCAACACAATTAACTCATAAATTGGATCGAAATTACTTTACATAGATATGATGTAGATAGATGTGGATAGACACTTGGCTTATATAATATTCCTTGATACCTTCCTATCATATCATGACTTAGTATTATTAAGTAATTTATTTAGTTATTCTCTTATTACCTAAATTATTAAATATAATTCTGAAATTTCTAGTATAATTCTCTTTAAAATACTTTAGTGATATAGAGAGACATTTTAAGTCTTGTCACACGAACAATGATCTTAGTTGGGTTATTTAATTCGTGATGAAGACACAATTTTAAATGGTTTAAATTGTGTCTGGTTTTTATTGTAATAAATATTAGATTCTGATGATGAGTGAAGGAACACCCGAAACCTCAGTTAAGTAATAGAATAATTAATGTAACTTACCGAATTGACCGAAGTTCATTATAACGAGACTTTCCGAATTTTTAGTAGATAATGCTGAAATTATTTATATAATTTTTTACCAAACTTAACATAGAAACCTCACTAACCTAACATAGAAACCTCACTAACCTAACATAGAAACCTCACTAACCTAACATAGAAACCTCACTAACCTAAACATAGAAACCTCACTAACCTAGCATAGAAACCTCACTAACCTAACATAGAAACCTCACTAACCTAGCATAGAAACCTCACTAACCTAACATAGAAACCTCACTAACCTAACATAGAAACCTCACTAACCTAACATAGAAAAATCACTAACCTAGCATAGAAACCTCACTAACCTAACATAGAAACCTCACTAACCTAACATAGAAACCTCACTAACCTAACATAGAAACCTCACTAACCTAACATAGAAACCTCACTAACCTAACATAGAAACCTCACTAACCTAGCAGAGAAACCTCACTAACCTAACATAGAAACCTCACTAACCTAGCATAGAAACCTCACTAACCTAACATAGAAACCTCACTAACCTAACATAGAAACCTCACTAACCTAACATAGAAACCTCACTAACCTAACATAGAAACATCACTAACCTAACATAGAAACCTCACTAACCTAGCATAGAAACCTCACTAACCTAACATAGAAACCTCACTAACCTAGCATAGAAACCTCACTAACCTAACATAGAAACCTCACTAACCTAACATAGAAACCTCACTAACCTAGCATAGAAACCTCACTAACCTAGCATAGAAACCTCACTAACCTAACATAGAAACCTCACTAACCTAGCATAGAAACCTCACTAACCTAACATAGAAACCTCACTAACCTAGCATAGAAACCTCACTAACCTAACATAGAAACCTCACTAACCTAACATAGAAACCTCACTAACCTAGCATAGAAACCTCACTAACCTAGAATAGAAACCTCACTAACCTAACATAGAAACCTCACTAACCTAACATAGAAACCTCACTAACCTAGCATAGAAACCTCACTAACCTAACATAGAAACCTCACTAACCTAACATAGAAACCTCACTAACCTAGCATAGAAACCTCACTAACCTAGCATAGAAACCTCACTAACCTAACATAGAAACCTCACTAACCTAACATAGAAACCTCACTAACCTAGCATAGAAGCCTCACTAACCTAAAATAGAAACCTCACTAACTTAACATAGAAACCTCACTAACCTAGCATAGAAACCTCACTAACCTAACATAGAAACCTCACTAACCTAACACAGAAACCTCACTAACATAGCATAGAAACCACACTAACCTAACATAGAAACCTCACTAACCTAACATAGAAACCTCACTAACCTAGCATAGAAACCTCACTAACCTAGCATAGAAACCTCACTAACCTAGCATAGAAACCTCAGTAATCTAACATAGAAACCTCACTAACCTAGCATAGAAACCTCACTAACCTAACATAGAAACCTCACTAACCTAGCATAGAAACCTCACTAACCTAGCATAGAAACCTCACTAACCTAACATAGAAACCTCACTAACCTAACATAGAAACCTCACTAACCTAACACAGAAACCTCACTAACCTAACATAGAAACCTCACTAACCTAACATAGAAACCTCACTAACCTAACATAGAAACCTCAATAACCTAGCATAGAAACCTCACTAACCTAACATAGAAACCTCACTAACCTAGCATGGAAACCTCACTAACCTAGCATAGACACATCACTAACCTAGCACAGAAACCTCACTAACCTAGCATAGA